TTTCATAGACAAAAGTCTTCTAATATCTGAAGCGTATCCTTCTGGAACTTTAACTTCACTTAGAAACTTACACAATATTTTTTTCTCCTTTCTAGATAGGGTAAAAGCAGCAGGTGATAGATATGTTCGTCTTCCTTTCTTCACGGGTCCTAATTCAGTTCTTATTCCCATCTTTAACATGTCCTCCCTTGCTTTAAGGCCATCCTTAGACTTTCCTTTTATATTGAGTAACATACCAATAACACTTTCGAATACATTTTTTTCAATATGCATAACATCGAGAAAATGTCCACATACAAAGACTTCCAAAATGGAAATTTAAAATAAATCGACCTCTTCTTCCACCCACCTTTGACAACCTTATGTGCAAAAGGCTTGCCAAACTGAGTACACACATCTTTCACCTTTTCAAAAATTTGGTCACCTGACAATGCAGGTGGAGCTTTACATTGTTTTATGTCTCCATTGAATGCTTTTCTCCACCCACAATAGCGATGTTTAGAATGTAAAAATCTATGATGACAAAGAAACACATTATTCTGACAAAGTTCCAATCGCGTCGTATCGGTTCCATCTTCACAAACAGGACACGCACGTTGACCTTTAATGCTATACCCAGATAGATTCTTGTATGCTGGAAAATCATTAATTGTGCCAAACAACATCGCCCTCAAATTGAAACTTTCTTTCCTATATCCATCATAAACCTCCACACCATTCTCCAACAAAATCTTTAAATCTTCGATCAAAGGTGTCAAGTATACGTCTATGTCATTCCCTGGTTGTTTAGGCCCATAAATTAACATAGATAACATCATGTACTTATGCTTCATACATAGCCATGGAGGTAGGTTATAAATCATAAGAATCACAGGCCATATGGTATGTGAGATACTTTGAAGACCATGTGGGTTTATTCTATCAGTAGATAATGCCAAGCAAAGGTTTCTTGCTTCTTCTCCAAAATCAGGATAATCATCATCAATTTTTTACCACAGTGGTGAATCTTCCGGATGTCGATACTTTCCATCAATAATTCTTTCATCTGCATGCCAAGTCAAGTGTCTTGCATCGGTTTCACTATGAAACATGCGCCTAAATCTCGGAATTATAGGAAAAATACCATAAGACTTTTTCTGGAGACAAATTTTTCTTATATCGAGATAAACTGCATTTAGGGCACTCATTTAACGATGCATATTCGCTTCGAAACAAAACACAATCGTTTGGACAAGAATGTATCTTATCATAGCTCATGCCAATAGAGCACAAAATTTTTTTGGCCTCATAGGTTCGATTAGGAAGAACATTATCCTCCGGAAGCATATCTCTCATAAGGGCTAATAACTCTGAAACTTTTATCCGACCATCCATTGCCCGCCTTTAACTTGTACAACTTTAATACCGCAGACAGTCTTGTGAATTTAGTGCAACCTTTATATAAAGGTTTCTCTGTATTGCTTACCAACCTCTCAAAAATTTTGGGACAATCCTTAAGATCTTCTTCAAGTGCTTCTGCAATCTCTTCGACTCGATCATAATCGTATGTATTTGTGTCATTGTTGTCTGGAGCATAGGTCGTCGTGTTACTTTTCTCCCGCGGTTCAACATTCTCGTTGATTTTCTCACCATGATATATCCAACATTTATAACTTTGATCAATCCCACGCACCAGTAAATGCAATTTCAATCCATCTGCGTCAACCCTACCCACGTAAAAACAACCCAAGCAAGGACATTTCATTCGACTGGAGTCTTTGACATGTTCAACAGCAAACTTAACGAATTCCAATACCCTATTCTCGTACTCTTTTGACAATCGATCGGCATTCATCCATTTTTTATCCATGGAATTACTACTAATTAAGGTAAACAAAAACACTATAGTTATTCACGCAACTATTTCAAAAGAACATAAAGAAAAACACTTTCGTGACACAAAAAGAATATTAATACAAACTTTTAGAAATATTTCGTAAGATTTAATCAGATTAGTTCTAGATCGATATAGACTAAAATTAATTATTTCTATATAAAATTAATTGTGCTTTTTAATTGATATAGATAGAATGTTTTATAATTTAGGAAGAAAATAGTAAATAAATAAACGAGTCGGTAATGTTGAATTTGAACTTGACTTACCAAAGAAAGAAGAGGGGTTATTGGGACCGACGGCAAATGATGCTGCTTTGATGTTCTTCGAATTGGTGATGGTCTTCGACTAACTACACCAATACAAAAAAGTCTTAACCAACTTTTTAGTAAAGCACACTAACATTGAAAATTCATAGAGTTGAGAATAAAATCACGATACCAATCCTCAAATGAAAATAGAATCAAAGAACTCATTTTGTTACACAATTTAAGAATCGGAACATGAAAAATTGATTTCAACACATTATTTATTCGATTAAACAAACACCGGGCAGCAACTATAACAAGTTATGAATTCTCGATAGTTTCAACTCAAGAAGATTCGAAACAAAATGGGAAAGCACCCGATGTCACAACCATGCGAACTTTCAGATTTAAATCAAATACCAAATAAAGTTGTATGAATCTCAAAGCAACAGTAAAAGATAAATTGTTGCCTCATGAATGGTTCTCGACTATATCTTATGCGAATAACGCGGCATAGACATCAAGCGCTTAAATTATCAACTTATGCGAATATCGTTTCAACTTTACATTATCATAAAATAATCACTTATATTATCAACTTTACACCATCAACTATATGAGTTCTTTCAATTTCATTTTCAATTATATGTGAAGTGCTTTCAATTTTAACACTAAGTGTTATTACGACAACCTCTATAACCAAAATGTATAGCTCGATTAATTGTATAGGAACATATTTTCTCTCATTCAATACATGCAATATTCATTGTGACATTTACACAAACACCTTACATGTAAAACTCATTGTGACATTTTCACAAACACCTTACATGCCACACAAAACACAACATAAACATTATCATCACTAAATCAACACTAAATCAAGACTATCAACTAAACCAAATGCAACATTATAAATCAACATTATGAAATATATCAAAAAGCATACCTAGAGGAGAAGAGAACCTTGGTTGTGAATGGAAGAAAGGATGAAATGGTCTTGAATGGAAGAAGGATGGGAACCTTGAATGATGTGGAACAAATAGGAGAGATTATCATTTAGATGGAAACGAAAAAAGAGAACTTAAGGCGTTGAATGGTCTTGGGCGAGAGCGAAGAGGGTTCGTGTGAGAAGATCTTATGAAAATGTTAACGTTACTGTAAGTTTGGGCGTGTTTTATTTTTTTAATAACAGGACTTTAGGCAGCGCTTTTGTGAAGCGCTGTCTAATGTGGGTCTTTAGCAGCGCTTTCTCTTTCTTTAGCAGCGCTTTCTAATTTGGGCCTTTAGCAGTGCTTCATACGTAGGCCTTTAGCAGCACTTTTAAGAAGCGTTGTGTAAGGTGGGCCTTTTAGCAGCGCTTTTAAGAAGTGTTGTCTAAGGTGGGCCTTTTAGCAGCGCTTTGAAGAAGCACTTTCTTTTATAGGCCTTTAGCAGCGCTTCTAAGAAGCGTTGTCTAATGTGGGCCTTTGGAGATGCGCTTTCTAAAATGGGCCTTTTAGCAGCGCTTTGGAAAAGCGTTGTCTAAAGTGGGCCTCTTAGCAGCACTTTTGCATAATTTCATTAATACTTCCCGTGTTTTATTATTTATTTAACTTATAGCAGCGCTTTTGGAATAAAGTGATGTCTAAGGTGCGCTGCCTAAAACCCTTTTTGGCGTAGTGAAAATAGTATCCAAGTTTCTTAGAATAAACCATATTTTATACGCAAAATTTTCCCAATATCTCCAACTACCTTCATATGAATCACACAAGTCCATGGTATTTAAAAATGTTTCTCAATCCTTTTAGATACCTCCAAAGGTTTCCTAAATTCAAAAAATACAATCATAATAATTTCCACCATTGTCTCTCAAAGTTTCTAATAAGATTTCCTCTTGCACCCTCTACCTTTCAGGCTAAATTCTGAAGGATGTTTTGAAAAGAATTATAGAGGCACATATTTATAACTACCGAATCTCAACAAATCTATAACGACCCAAAATACAACGCACCAATTAACAAATCCGTGAGTAGTAACAACCAAGTCCAATACTTGTTAACCTCCTGAATCATACCCAGTGTCTAAGGATCGTTCGTCGCCTGGTCTTGAAATGAGTGTCACCGCTCTCCGCCATAGGCCAAACTTCGAATGGCCACCGCCACATAACAAATCATTTGTATCTCCAACACGGCTCTGTCACTGGCAACTGTCGAAGCTTCACCACCGCGTTTCCGACATCCTTTGTAGAGATTTCTGCCGCTTTTTGAATTTCCATACATTTGGTTTTTGACAATTTCCTTCTATTTATCACTTAGGCTATGTTTGGATTGACAAAACATAACATAGCAAAGCGGAATGAAATATAACAGAATGAAATGAAATAGAGTGAAGTGAAATGAAATTTAGACCCTATTATTTAGATGTTTTATTTGTAATGTTTCATTCTATTACATGCACTCAAAATCTGAAGAAATAAAAAATAAAAATTCAAATGGAATAAGTTGGAATAAATTTTATCATATTTCATTACATTTCATCCCATAATGCAAATCCAAACAAGTAAATCACATTATTTACTATTACCTTCCATTCCAATCCATCACATATCACAAATCTAAACATACCTTTAAAGTTTTAAGATATATTTATGCAATTTTTAAATAAAAAAAGTTAAATCAATTTCATTTTTATGAAAGGGTTTTAATTTTAAAATTGACTTTTCAAATTAAAACTCAAAAACTCACAGCATCCTCAACAAATTCTTATAATACTAAAAAAATAATAGAGAGACTAAAATGAATGGCTCATTACTAATGTTTTTAATTATATAAAAGGTTAAATTTTACAAATATATGTCACAAATTTCAACAACAAATTCTAAAAATTTCTTTTGAGAAATGGAGACAAAAGATCTATCGAAATTATCTGTCTTTCCCTCTTTAGCCGGAGACGATCACCAACATAAGCGATCACCGTCTGTCCGTGACTCCAATACACAAGTCTCTATGTCTGAATCTGATGTAATGTTCATCTCTCCTTTAAATTTTCAGATGTTTCCGTTGGATCATGAATTTGTGTTCATAGTTTGACATATCTCTACTTTATTTACTTGATTTTAGGGTTTTTAATGCTTCAGTTTGGGGATTTTTGAATAGTAATATGAAAGGTTTTAAAAAACGGTCCCGTCACGCGGTATGAATTTACCACAATTTATTCTTTAATATAGAAAACAGTTGTAAAGGTATTGGTATTGGCATTTGGCAAAATTGTTTTGTCGTGGCAGTTTTCACAGTCGCGGACCCTTTTTTATAACCGCTATAGGGATATTGGTGCTACCTAATATCAAATCTAAATCAGTTTGTATTGATTTTCTTTGCTAAGTTTAACAAGAAAGATTAATATGAAACCGACACTTCTGAAAAATAGGTGTCTCTGTGTCTGAAATTCTGAAAATAGGTGTCTCTGTGTCTGAAATTAATAAATGATACTTATTCAATGATACTTATGAATATGTTTATTATTTTTTTTCAAATTATTATGGTGTCGAGATATATGTGTTCTGGTGTCCATGTTTCATAGCAATCACATAGTTGACGAATAAAAAACATTGTATTTTGTAAGACAATTATTTTATCTCAATCGGCAGAAATCGATATTACTAGATTGTATGTCATCACGAGAATTTGAATCTTAATAGTTAGTTGTGTGTGTGATTTTCTAGTAATTATTCTCAATTTGTCTACTGACAAAATAAATATCCAATGTATTTGTTCCTTGTTATATCTTCATATTGTTTTTTACATAGGTGAAAAAGGAAAGAGAGTCAGCACAAGATGTAGTTGAAAAAGAAGACATTGCAGCCACGTCTTATGTCAGTGGTCAATACTGTATTCCGAATTGCATTCATGTCTTGAGAAATCTAAAGCAAGATGGTCGTTTGTATGGAAAACGATTTAGCTATGCTTTAGAATTGATAAAAGATAGCAAAAATAGAGTCATTGTTATTTCTTTAAAAGATTGCTTCAGTGAACTGGAGGATTGGATTGATTACAAGTTTAATAATTAAAATCCTGATGTTTTTGTTAAGTTTTGACTTTGTTCGAATGTTAAACTTCCTATTATAATGAATCTGTTATCTTTATTTGCATTTTCTGGTCTTTGTTTTCTACTCAGTTTGTTCTATCAATGGCTTGTAGTCAAATTAGTGGACATTAAAGAAAGGTTAAAAAAGAGCAATGCATGAAATTTTACAAAATCTTTTCTGATAGAACAATGTGAATTAATTGTATAATCACATTAATACTGCTTGAATTATGCACACATAGAAGTTCTAGGTTCAACTACCTCTCTAAACTCTAGGTTCAACTCCTGTTCCCATGTGAGGTATTTTTAGTGAAGAATCTTTAATCTTATATTTGCCATAAATAATTCATTAAGTAGTCATTGAGTTTGCCATTTGTTATCAAATTTATTTCTATCTTTATCTAATTTCTTTCAAATAAGTCTTTATACCAATAAATGTTGGAATATGAAAATATTATAATATGGAGATATATAGACATGAATTTGAAAAAATTTATTAACTTTCATATTTTGTTAGAAATCTTTGTGTATATGTGTGTTAATTGAGTATACTGTAAATTCATATTTCTTAGATTACATACGTTGTCTAAGCTTTATTACATGAATATGTTTTATTTCAAAACACACCAACAAATCTTTTTCTGTTTTTCTGTTTTCTTTTTATCTACTTTGCATTTTCTAATTGTTGAAACACCAATTTTTTCTCCATTCTTTTTACTCGTTGAATCATTTGAATATTTTCTTGAATTCTCTTTAGAGAATTATTTGAATTTGTCCTTGTTTGACTTGAGAAATTATTAAGCATTTTTTTCTTTGGAGAATTATTTAAATTTTTCTTTCTTTGAAAATTTATTTTGATTGGTCAAATGACCATTATTAAATTCTCTTTTGGAGAATTATTTGAATTTCTCATCATTTGAGAAATTATTACTAGTGGTCACTATACTAGATACCACGAGTGGTATTTATACAATATCTTATTGGTCTTTGTACTATTAGATGATGTATTTGTAAACAGATTATCTATCATGCAAGTAGTAATCATATAATATGGAACTGAGTTGTTTTATCATGGAGACGTAGTTAAATGGATGTTTTGTATAACTTTGGGTAGTGTCTCGAAATGTCTTGAAGAGAGCAACATAGTCCACGACTCGAATCGGTAATTTCTTCAGTGACAATTTCTCAAAATTGTAAAACAACAATTTTAAGATGTTTCCAAACCACCATAGCCACTGCAGAAATTATTGCTACATTTGTGGCTCTCTCTCTCTCTCTCTCTCTCTCTCTCTCTCTCTCTCTCTCTCTCTCTCTCTCTCTCTCTCTCTCTCTCTCTGTGTGTGTGTGTGTGTGTGTGTGTGTGTGACAAACCATTCAAGTTTGAGGCAAGTCACTTCAAACCCTTGTAACAAAAAATACGATTATTTAACCCTAATAAAAGGTTGTCCACTTTCTTATTGATGACATTTTTGTTGCTCCTTCTGGATGAACTAAACAAAATAACGGCAAGAAATCTATGGATTCAGATGGAACTTTCAATTACATGCGAGAAATTCGTGGATTTAGATGGAACTTTCAATTTTACTAAAGCCAACTATATTGCACAAATTAAAGAGAATGATTTACATCTCATGAAAGAAGTCGCCCTATGAAAGAGAATGATTATCTCTTCAAAATCGCATTTTGAATGGACTGACTGATGATTTGTATAATTATTACAGTAACTGTGATACTGCAAAATAAGTTTGGAAGGCTTTGAATAAAAAGTATGACACCTAAGAAACTAGAGCAAAGAAGTATGTGGTTAGCTGCTATGTTAAGTATCAGATGGTATAAATGAAAGGTCTTTGAACAGTCAATCTCACAAATTTCAAAAGATTGCTTATGAAATCATTAATGAAGGTATCTCTTTCGATGAAAACTTTCAAATTGGTTTTATTATTTACAAATTGCTCCAAGTTTGAAAGATTTTAAAAATTTTCTTCACCATAAAACAAAAGAGTTTTCAATTAAGAGTCTGGTTATTAGTATTTGAATTGAAGACGAATCTCAGAGATAAGATAAAAATAAAAATCTTGGTTGTTTTAAACAATAAAAGAAATCAGGTGCGACTCTGAAGCCATTTGGTAAACCATTACAGAATTACAACTGCAATGTTGTGAACCAAATTAAGAATGAGAATCCTTCAAGGGCCCCAATTTCTCTAATAGTTGGGCCGCGTGCACCACCTCGAAGAAATGATGTTGATAATTTCTCTTATTTCAATTATGGAGAACCAGATCATATGACTTAGAGATAAAGAAGTGGGTCAAGCCCTAGTGTTATCCCTAATGCACATGTTAACCTGACTGGTGAGAAATTGATTGCTATGATCACCAAAATCAACATGGTTAATGGTTCTGATGGTTGGTGGATAAACAATATGCCTCTCATCATGTTTAGTATGATCATGTAATGTTCAAAACATACATGAATACTGAATATAAGAAATTTTTGTTGGGGGATGCTAACACCACTTGAAATACTTTGATTTTGTAAGATGTCATTCATGTCTTTGAAATTAGAAAGAATCTTGTTTCTGGATTTCTTCTTAATAAGGTAGGGTTTAGTCAATCTATTGGGATAAATTTGTAAATCATCACTAAGAATGATATATTTATAAATGAAATAGATATGTATAAGATTTTTATGAATGAAATTGAAAATCAATTTAGTAAGAATGAAAGTGGAGTGCTCGATATGTTTAAGACTTTTGTGAATGAAATTGAAAATCAATTTAGTAAGAATGAAAGTGAAACGCTTGATATATTTAAGACTTTTGTGAATGAAATTTAAAATCAATTTAGTAAAAAAATTAAGGGACTTCGTAATGATAAGGGAACAAAGTATGATTCCCGTTTATTTAATGATTTTTGTAAACAACACCGAATTAGAAAATTGGAAAATACGGAAGAGACGTTTCCTACCATTTTATCATAATACAACCCTTGTAAAGTTCCCATGAACATATCGACCAATTATTTTTACAGGAGTGGTGGTTGTACACGAGCTGCCATCTCCCTCCATCTTTGAGCATACTCATTGAAAGACTCATCCTTTTCTGGGATATGTTTTGGAGTTGCATACAGTTAGGAGCCATGTCCAAATTTTACTTGTATTGTCTCAAGAAAGATTTGGCAAGATATGCCCATGTTTGGATATAAACTCGCTCCAATTTCATGTACCAATATAGAGATTCCTTACTCAAGCTGTCTTGGAAACAATGGATCATCAGCTTCTGATCTTGAGCATAAGCATGCATTTTTTTGCAATACATGCGTAGATGATTCTTTGGGCATGTGAGTATTTTATATTTTTCAAAATCAGGTACTTTTAATTTTGGAGAGATCGCCACATCTGGAACTAGGGCCATTTCGATAGCATCGACTTCGAAAGCATTGTAACCCTCCACAACTTTCAATCTTTCTTCAAGAGCTTTATACTGATTGAGCGCCAAGGGATTTTCAGTGACATGGGTATGGGTTGTCCTTTGAGGTACATGGTTGACGTCTTCTAAGTCATGGTCTCCATATTGCAAGTCTATGTAATTATCCATGTTGTGTGGATTGTTGACTGGAATCTACAAGGTATGAGATGCCCATACCTTCGGTGGAGGTGGGACAAATCCTTCACTATCAGCTTGCCTGACCTCTTGCTGAGCCACAGTTGATTTTAGAGGTCCTGACTCTGGTTCTCTTCTTGGTTGGTGACCGCTTAATGCACCAATAGTTTGGTCTACTTCTTCAAAGGCTACCCTTGGTATTTGATCTTGTCTCTCAATGATGTTCTTCAAAGCTAGATGAACTTGGATCATGTCTCCTTTCATTGAGTCGATGTTACCCTTTACATGCTCCAAATCTTCTCTAAAAGCAGCCTGATTCTCTTTGATATGTTCCATCACTTTCTTTTGATGGGATCTTCTTTGGTATGGTGGCCAGAGAGGAGGTGCTTTTTTACCAATGATTCAATTGGAGAGGATTTTGGAAATTAGTGAGTTTTTTGTTATGAAATGTGAAATGTGATGCTTATGAATTCATGGATGCATATGAATATGCTAAGAGTTTATTTTTGAATGTCTTATTCACTTGGATTTTTTAGTCATATTTTATATTTTTTTTCTTAGGTTTTTCTTTTTATTGGTGAGCATCTAAAGATAAATACACAATCGAGATATGGAAACAAAATACTTTTATTGAAATAACAATAGTCCTCAAAAGGGAATACAATTCAGAAATTGAAAAATATTCTATCCAAAACACCAGAATTTTAAAATTGTAAGAGATAATAAAGAGAAAAACATCAATCTTCTAAGTGTGCTTGCGGATCGCTACCTTGAAGTCGTCAACCATCTTTCTACAGAGCTTGAGGAAGTCTTCAACATCTTTTGAGAGAGGGACCATCACACTTTCCGTGTATTTCAAACTTCTAGGGATGTCATCGATGAGATTGCTGGCTAAGAAGGCGAGCCTTACATGCTTGTCTTTGTAGAACCGATATTCCTTGTAGAGATCCGAAACTATATTATGGTTATCCTTTATGGCTTTGGCAATCTTCTCATATTGTTTTTCCCAATATAATTCTCAGCCCTCATCTTCGCATAAAGTCTCCTTTGTATGAGGAAATTCTTTCAGAGGTCTTCTAACTCGTGAGAGACTTGCTCATACTTTTCTATCTTTTGAGAGAGAAAATTCTCTACTTCCATCATTCCCAAGAATTCTCTTAGCTCCGGTTGCTGACTTTTTCTTGGAGACTGGTAGTAAGGAACTGGACTTGATCCTCAGAATCTAGAGCTCCATATGTTAAACCTTAGATTTGGGCTCTCAGATTTGCTTCCATCTCCTTTTTTCTTGTAGGACTTTTTCGTACCACCTATTCAATCTTCCAATTTCCCTCAAAATGTTATATAACCTTTGGTTGTGAGAATCCAAGTTGAAAGTAGCACTC